AGGATGAAGCTGCCATTTACTGAAACGGAAAGACTATATACATGCAACCAGTTGCACCTGTGAGCTTAGAGTTCAGAGGAGAGGACCGATCTAGACATAGAAATCCTGCAAGTTGTTTTTGAAAGACGTGAGGGTGAGTTAACTTCTCAACAAATTCACTGTAAACAGAGGAGAGAAGAGACCTGAAGACTGAGTCTGGGGGCAATCCAAACTGTAAGGAGAAGGAAAAGTGATGGAACCAGGAGAGGAGACTAAGAAGGAGCCAGTGGGAGCGGAAAACACACAGAATATGATGACCTCGAAGCCAATTGAAAAATAGAGTTTCAGCGACAAAGGAATGATTGCTTGTAGTTAATTTTGTGCCAAGCGAGATGAGCATTGAGACTTAACCGTTGAATTTAGCAATGAGGACGTCTTTGTAACCTTGACAAAAGCAGTTTCAGCAGAGTGTTGTAGGAGAAAGCTTGATTAGAGCGGATGGCAAATGGGAGGAGGGCACCCAGAGACAGAAAATTCAGACAATTCGGAGTGATTTTGCTATCAAGATGAACAGAGAAATGAAGCGATGGCTCGAAGAAGGGTTGTTTGTGTTTACGATAGGAGAATGTGTATTATGTCTGTGTGCTGGCAGAGAGGGAACATCAACAATGTAAAAACCAGAAGGGATAATTGCTGCTGGAGGGAGTGGGCCTGAGAATCAGGCAGAGTTCATCTACAGAAACCCAGGTGAAGGCAGGTGACGTAGGTCTGCACTTAGGTGAGCAGGTCAGCCTAGCCCTGGGAGCGAGTGGTTTGCGGACAGACAAGAAGGCATGAAACAGCCACGGAGAGCGTGAGCGAGCGAGTGGGCTAGGAGTAAGTAGTAGGTTCTCTGGGCAGTACCAAGGGTCCACTGGAGGTCAGAGGGTCATGGTTTCGAAGTGAGATCAGGCAGGATGGATTGAATCAAGGTTGGAATTTTTTCAAGTGTATAAAATGCAAGATAAGGCAAGAGGGTTAAGGCTGTGTGGAGAAGGTTGATAATTGAAAATGATTGTCAATGAATCGAAGGTCGATAAGGATAAAGGGAGAAAATGAGGTTAGTAACAGTGAGAAGAGGAGAGGAGCGAAGCAGAGAAATGGGAAATGGTAGGTGACGAGTGGATGGATAGAAAGAAAGAATAATGTCCACAGCATAGCCCAACAGATTAACAATAAGCAGGTTTGGGTTTTGCCTTTTTTAAAGTGTAAAATGGTTTGTAAATACCAGCGTGGTCGGAGATTGTTGAGTCAGGTTTGTAGAAGTGAGCCAGGTAGGAGGCAGAGCTCAAGGAGTGGTCTGAGGAAGACTGAGGGGCCGGAGAGCCTGGGGGAGCTGCAGGTGTCAGTAGTGACAGGGGTCCAGCCCTAGAGCTGAGAGATAAGGGGGGGGGAGGACAAGCCCATGGTGGGGCTGGAGTACATGACAGGAAAGCAGGTAGTGTGGATTGGAAGAACCACAGTAAGTAGCAGGGACAGCAAGGAAGACCCAGTCCTGGCTTGCCCACTGCAACCTAGAAGTACAAGGGGTGTGCAAGATGAAACAGCTTCCACTTGAGAGAGCTCAGGGGAAGCAGTGTCCTCAAGGGAGGGCTTGATATTAAGGGAGAAATCGTTCTTCTAAGAATCTAAATTAGCTGGTTACTGTGCCTGAATGTTAAATTAGGCCTTTCACCTCCTGGCAGTGTGAGTTTCATAAAGGGAGAAATGGTAGGACGCATAGTTCTTGGTATCTGACAAAAGGAGGCATATAACTTCTTCAAAAGAGGCCAATATTTTCTAAAATTCCAAGAATTTTTCCCATAGTCATTTTGGTATGTCTTGCAACTAGAATCATTTTCATATCTCTTGCAACTAGAACAAAATTTGAAATACATTTGTAATCATAATACAATAAATGATTTTTTTAACCAAATTCATCTGACATGGAAGTTTATAGTGAACAATATTTCCAATGGCAGTTTTTGAAAATAAAAACGCTTATCAGGCAGCACCTGTAGCTCAAAGGAGTAGGGTGCTGGCCCCATATGCTGGAGGTGTCGGGTTCAAACCTAGCCCTGGCCAAAAACTGCAAAAAAAAGAAAAGAAAAGAAAAGAAAAAGCTTATCTTAACCCCTAAAATATGGCATGGTCCAGAGGTTGCTATCTTGATCTTGGTTGTGAATCCGAGATGATTTTTTCAAAAGTGAATCTAATGATAGAATCAGGTTCAGCAGTTCCTTTCCTGCAGACGCACCACGCAGTGACTTAGAAGGCACTGAGATAGTTAACGGTTTTTAGTATTCACTTTTATTCTTTCATTTTGAGGAGGAGAACCCACCATTAAAAACATGGAAAGCTAATTAAAGCTTTTCCAGTATTTCATTATCTGAATGTAGTTGCAAATTCCGACTTAAAACTCTTATCAGAGAGAGACTCAACATCCCTCTGTGAACAGCAATGAACATTCAATTAGTACTTCAATACACGTGTATTTTAAATAAAAAATATACTTTATTGTTAATCTCATTCTTTACAAATGCAAATACCCAATTTTAAAATCCAAAGAGTTTCCTTCCTTTTATTCTTACAGGGGGAATAAAAAAGTTCTTTTTTCTATTTACAGGGAAGACCCGAGTTTTCTGAAGTTGTTGCGAAATTAGAAGAGTGTCTCTGCAACATCGAGGTAAAAATCTTTACCTTCTGAAATGTGTCTGTGAAAAAGCCCCGAATATCCAAGGATGTCAGGGATGTAGGTGAGATAGCACTTAAGAAAAGTTGCTATGAAGGTTCATAGCTCCATTCATCTTTATGTTATTCATTAAATTCCTAGGGTGGAGCTGAATTGGCTGCAACCACGGGGGCAAAGGCAAATGTGTACTGAATTTGGGCCCTTTCAACAAATAATCAGGCAGGCAAATTGACACAGTCATGACCAGCTTCAAAAATGGAGAAGTAGCAGTTTGAAAGTGTAACAAATATGTTTAGAAAGTAATGATTTAAATTTATTTTTCTATACAGAAATTTCTACTTACAGAAAAGTCATCAAAAACATGAAGCCGTTGTCTATTGACATTCAATAAGAAAAGGAAAAATCAGTGAAAAGCACACACAAATTAACTGGGAGGCATTGTTTTCACACCACACCTATGCTGAGTGAATGATCTATGTTGGTAATCAGGCTAATAGAATTTTCTTCCCTTAATATCAAGGAGCTATTTGCTTTAATTTTCTTTATAATTGCCTTAATTTTCTATACACCTGGTCAGGAAATAGAATTTTTAAATAGGCCAAGGAGCTAAAACATGAGCACTAATTTAAAAATACTATATTCCCAAACGCAAATGAGTGTTTCTGAAGGAGACACCACCTCACCCCGACCACAGGTACACCTGCGTTTTGAGGAAAGAGGTAACAGTCGGGAGAGGACAGCATCAACCTGAGATTGCACAGCTAAAACGTCAGAGTGGAAACATCCAAGGAAAGTTTTCTTTCCTTAAAAAAATAAAAAATCTCAACTAAGAGTCACTGGCTCTGAGTTTATGGGAGAAGAGATGCAGTCTCCAGTTGCAGCCTGCAGGGAAGGTCCCTATCTCCTGACCGTCCTGGTACTTTAAAGAGGAGGTCTCGTGTAGTAGGAAGCTTTGGTCTTTAGACAGCAAACCTTCTTTCCCTTTTCTTAGGTCCTGAAACTTGTAGAAAGTGAGGAGACCCAGTAATAGAATGGTTTGGCTGGGCTTTCACACTCCCTAGGACAAAAGCATCTGCTGGAGGCCATGGGTGGTATTAAGAGATGGCTTCAAGGTGTGAATTTAAAGCATCCTCTCACTTTGAACCTTTGTGTTTCACTGGACAAGATTGCTTCTAGCCTGGGGTTATATCTCATTAGATCTGACTGGGTATGCCAGAAAGAGAGGAAATGGTAGGATCCCCTAAATTAGCTTATCCTGTTATAAGGATCAAGCCTCTTAGTATAGTCTTTGCCCCTGGAGAGAAGGCGCTATATGCAAAGACAGTTCGCTGTATCAGTTGCACTAAATAATGGACCAGAGTCAGCCTAAAGGGGCTTAGTCAATGGCTTAGACCAAGGTCAAAGGGAAGCTATTCCCAACATATATAATAAAGTTGAGAGAGACAGGAAAAATTTGAAGCAGAGTTCTATAATATCTTGGAGGATGAAGTGATAGCACATGTCTAGCAAGAATAACTTTAACAGGAATAAATGCAATGTCCTGCACCAGAGCCAAAGAAACAATAACAAAAGTGGTATATGGCAGAGACATGGTTCAGAAGCATCACGAACGTTAGTGGTTAACAGACTCATTACCATTTAGAATATGAAGTGGCTGTTTTGTTACCCAGTGAAAGATTGGTTCATTCCTCTCTGGAGATGGCCTAAAAAAATGGTACCCAGTTGTGTCCGTGATCCTTTTAAAGGAATAATTAAAACCAGAACACCCTTTTTAGGGAAGGTGCACCAGAATGGTGAATGGATTAAAAATCATGTAAGAACCAAGTGGAGGAACCAAAGATGCTTATCACAGAAATAAGAAAACTAAAATGAGTCGAACAGCTGCTTTTCAACATCTGAAGAACTATCATGGGGCAAAGGGATTGGCCTTGTTCTCTAGGGAAGAACGCATGGCAGCCGTTGGAGCATCCTTCATCGTGTTAAATGGATGTCTTCTTGGAAAAGTGCGTAAATCCATTTTATGTGAAGGGAATTATTCCATATAAAGGGAATAATTTTAACTATGATTTAAAGGAACTCTGCCATGTATCTTATTGCTGTAGTTAAGAATGTGAAGAATCTTTTGATCATTGAATAATAACCTTCTAAATATATTTTATGAATCAGATTTGGGCCTTCTGCATTTTCAGAAAGATGAGGGTGTGTTTAACAGACCAGGTCTCAGCATAGAACTGGGTCAAAAAAAGAAATCGGCCTAGCCAAGTGTTACCAACAGAGGCTAGAAGGAAAAGCCAGAGGGGGCTGAAATGAATAGAAATTAAAATATGAAAAATCCTAGGATAGAAAGTCAAAATAAATCCATATTCTAGGCTATGCCTTTCTGCCTGTTGGATGCATTAAATGATTGAAACTGCCTCTCTTTCACTCAGCTGATGTCTCCTGCTTCCAGTAACAGCAGTGGGTCTCTCTCACCTTCCTCTTCTTCTGATTGCCTGGCGAGCCGGGGAGGGCCTGGCCGGAGCCATGTGGCCGCATTAAGAAGTCGTTTTGAATTGGAATATGCTCTAAATTCCAGGTCCTATGCAGCTTGGTCCCAAAGGTAAGTGATAATTTCATTAACAATCTTACAGTAAATCTGTATTCCAGAATCTTATCAAGATAGTCACCAGATTTGAAATTAATATAACAGGGGATTAACCACCCCTCTGGAAAGCTGACAGGAGTTTTGAGCCCATTTTTTCTTATTATATAATGACCAAAATCTAGAAATTTTATTCCATATTAGCATATGTCCTCAAAGTTGCAAGTAATGGCCATTAAATCTAGCTTAGTAAAAATGTCTATTCTAAAACCTCAAAGAAATTTTTCTGAATGTGTTCTGGGGGTATTTTGTGGAATTCAAGGAAGAATTCCCATGTGGAAACCAGAAAACAGGTTCTGAGGCTCTCAGAAGCAAAGAGTCAGAGTTTCAAGAATTGCTATATGACCCAGCAATTTCCCTCATAGGAGTGTACTCGAAGAATTGAAAACAGGTACTCAAACAAATACTGGTACTCAGATTTTTATAGTAGCAATATTCACAATAGCCAAAAGGGTTTCCATCAACAGATAAACCGATAAACAAAATATGGCACCCATATAGAAGAATATTATTCAGCCATAAAAAGGAATAAAGTACAGATGGATAAACCTGAAACTCTGCTAAGTGGAAGAGGCCAGACACAAAGGTCGCAGAGCTGTGACTCGCTTTGAGTGACTATCCAGAATTAACATTAACAGCCCAGGCTGCTATAGCAACATACCGTAGAATGGGTGGCCTTAAACAACGGAAATGTATTTTCCCACAGTTCTAGAGGCCGGGTCTAAGATCAGGATGCCAGCATGGTTGTGTTCTGGGGTGGGCTCCTTTCCTGGTTTAGGTTTCACCACCTTCTCTTTGGGAGAAAGGGAGGCCTTACTTAGACTCTTCATCTTCTAATAAGGTCATCAATTCCATTGAATTAGGTCTCTAACCTTATGATGTCATTTAACCTTAATTACCTCCTTAAAGACCCCTAATTACCTCCTTTAAGACCCTTAATTGCCTCCTTAAAGCCCCCCCTCAAAATACAATGGTGACTGTAAGCGTTTGACATATGAATTTGAGGAAGGACACAATCCAGTTTATAGAAATAACTAAATCCATAAAAGGCAAAAAGTGGATTGGTTTTGCCATGGGCTGGGGCAGAGGAAGAAACAGGGTCCCAGCTTTATTTGGAGGTAATGAAAGTATTTTAGAATTAGAGCTGGTGGTTGTAAAACATTGTGAATATACTAAATGCCATTGAATTACTCAGTTTGAAATGATTAATTTTTTAAAAAACAAAATGATTATTTCTACATTTTATGAACTTTACTTGAATGGAAAAAAAAAAACAGAACAAAAAAATTTAAGCAAAAGGGTGAGTCAGAAAAAGAGGGAAAAGAATCAGCATTTTTCCATACTAAGCTCTGATCTATTTATATGCCTCAGGTACCAGTAGACTGTCTCTTTGTTTCGGCTTAGTTGTAAAGTTTCAAGGAGAGATGTATCAGATACCCATTACTACGATAATCTTGTATAATAAGGCACCCCCAAATATAGGGATCTACAAACATACGCATTGACTTCTTGCTCATGTGTGGGGTGGGCTTGACCCTGAGCTACAGGCTGTGTCCAGATCTGCCTGCCCACCATGCCGCTTGCCCTCTGTGGATGAGTGTGTAAAAGGGCATACCACCTGGGGCACGCTATTCTCACAGACAAGGCGAGGAACGCCAGACTCCAGGCCCAAAGCCTTTGCTCAGTTGTTCTTCTGACATGCCACTGGCAAGTCATGGCTAAATCCAACCTCCATAAGGAGAAAAAATATACCTCATCTCCCATGGGAAGAACACAGAGTCACAAGGCAAAAAGCAAAGATACCTGAGGCATAAGGAATTAGGAATAAAAGTGCGGGCTACCGTGAGAAAGAACGTGATTGGCCTTTTTCGGATTAAATGACCATCTCAGTGTAAGCAAATGTGGTTGGAGTCTGGGTGGGATTATATTTCATTGATATAAACATGGCTAGCAGGGGCTTTTGTTCTGGATGAGAAGCAGAGAAGGCAGCCGCTGTGAGTCTGATAGATTACCCTATGCAGGATGCACCTTCCAGCCCTTGGGAAACCACAAAGTCTCCTTCCACATGAGCTCCAGAACATTTGCGCATGGACCCAGTGACTCACGGGCACTCACACACACTTGTACATACATTTGCACACACTCTCACTCCATTAGCAATGTAAATGTTCTTAAAAGTGTGGAAAGGTTATTTGGAGTTATCAAGGTTTTCACACAATCTACAAATCGTTGTTATTGCTTTTAAAGCTGTAGTTGTTATAATATATTTCCAGTCTGACAAGAGAAATGCATCTGTAGCTATGGAGAGATGAGAATCTGAATCATGAACATTTTAATCTATGGATTGTGAAGAAATTAAGCATCAGCAGGTTTGATTGATAACCGGGCAAACTGGACACAATTCTTAATTGGGTTTCAGTCTCTTGTGTAATTTCATAAAGAGCCCATGGGCCAAAATTAGATTGGGTTTGGTCACGTCATCCTCTTCTAGTTCCATCTACTCATCTTCCTGTCTACTTGTGGTTTTAAAATTATTTCTCTGCAAGTCAGATTTTGATATTCTTAAAGTACAGTCACCTGACATAGGTCAAGAGAATGAGCTCTGGAATCAGACAGACCTGGGGTTACATCTTGGCTCTGACACTTACTATCTAATGACGTTGGTGAAGTTATTAAGTGTTCTATGTAAAACACCATTCACAGGCAATGATACCAGCTCTTGGGGTTGTTATAAGGAGAGACACTATTGACATAGCAATGACAGTTGATTAAAAGATGTCAGCAGACCAGCAAAGAATACAGTTCCAATAATGTAGTTCAGCCCCAGAATTCATAATATGCAGAGAGCTACATAGGGTGGGACGCACAGTTGGACTCCCACTGGAGGTGCAAGGAGCTGTTTCTCTGGCCTTCATGAACCTAGGCAGGTACTAGGTCTGCCACTACTAATTTAAGAACCAAAAATCCTCCCTAAACTGGGTGAATGAGCCCATCAGGTTTTCTGAGACCTTCTCTCTGATATTCTCATTAAGATTTTTGTAGCCTTTTGGTCCTTCCTGACTGTGATGGAACTCTGAGAAGTGTCTGTCCACCTGAAGTTTCTCTCAGGAGCCTGGCACAGCCCCGTGTGTGTACCGCGCAGGTGAACAAAGGTCAGTTTGTTAGTTGTGCCATCCCTTTAGCAAGCTCAGTCTTTGGGCTGCTGAAAATCCACTCCAGAAATAAGCAAAGCATTGAGCTGTAATAACACACCAGTGGAGGAATTAAGTCTGCTTTATTCGCTGCTACATTCCTAGTAGCTAGTAGTATGATTGGCATAAAGTCGATAAGTAACAAATATTTGGTTAGTAGATATAAAATAAAGAATTAGGTAAATTGTTGTGATATTCTGCAAATCCTCCCAGGTAAATACAAAAGAAGTGATGTCTCCATCTCATCTTTTGGCTGAGTTATATTCCATGGTATACATATACCACAGTTTATTTGTCTACTCATGGGCTGATGAGCACCTGGGCTGTTTCCACATCTCTGCAGTTGTGAATTAAGCTGCTATAAGCATGCAAGTGCAAATGTCCCCCCAGTAAATGATTTTTTTAATGTAGGGGTCTGTGGCACACCTCCTGGGTGAAGGGCTCACCTGCACCTTGGACTCTACCTAACAAATGCAAACAACATAACCTGATCATATGTACCCTTATATTAACCAGAAATTAAAAGAAGCATTTATACATAACCACAAAACATTAATTAAATAAATTGGCTCAATAATTATTATTGATTGGGAGCTTAATCCATGAATAGGATTTTCTCTATTCTCTCTATTTTAGAAAGCTGTCACTACTGAACATAATGGACACTATTTTAACACTTTAGATAGTCATCTAATTAAGGTTTAGGAAATCAGTATTTTAATTTTTGTAGATGAGGAAACTGAAGCTTAACAAGAGTAAGCAACTCTCTCCTTTTTATTGGAAAGCAAGTAGGAGGCAGAGCTGTAATTCTTATCCAGGATACTCCTGTGCTTTCAGAGTTTCTCTGGCACAGGAGGTGGCATGTTCCAGAAGCTTGATATATTTTGCAAATACTTGAATTTTCTGAGCTTCTTCCGATTCTACAAGTAAATCTTGGAATGAATTCAGCTACTCCTCCCAAACCTACTTTTCTATACTGTGTACATGAAGGCAGAGAACTGAAACCAGCCATCAATAGGTTCTTAAAGTCAAAGAACCCAAAGATACAGGAATTGATGGACTCAGTCCAGCAGCGAAAGGTTAACAGCCTCCAAAGACAGAGGTCTCTGCTGTGGCTGCACATTGGGGTAACCTGGGAGCTTTCACAAGTACCAATTCCCAGGACCAATTAACCCAAAATCCATGGGGGTGGCACTCAGGCATCAGAATGAGTCAAAAGTCTCCCAGGTGATTGATTCCAGTACACATCCAAGGACGTGAAGCATTAAGAGTATGACACAATGCTTACCCAGCTGCCAGTCACTCTGCAGAAAGAGGATGCAACTGATGGGATCAGTGGATGAGGAAAGTGAAAGCCAAGGTGAAACAGCCGCTGTGACCAAAGGGGAACATTCTGAAGGCTGAGACCTGCACAGTCTCTCCCAAAGGCCTTGCAATGTACCAGTAACCTCTGATCTGTGAGCTTCCGAACTATCTCTCATTCACGTTCCACAAAGTATAATTTTTAGTGTGGCATTATGATTTTGAAAAATGAGTTTGCCCTGTAGTCCCTCCTAATCTATGGACATGGGACCCCTCAGCAATGTTTTGGAAATGATGCATATATTTTCAAATTTTTTGTTATAAGGTTCACAGCTTGTAGGTTGGAGTTTTGTAATTTAATACTTGAGGTGATATGGTTTTTGGTTGTTTGCATGTTTCCTTCTAATGATTATTATTTTCTTCATAAAACAAATTTAGAGGTGTCAGAAATTTTCTCTACAGATA